AATTGTATACATTAAATATGTGCAGTTTTTAAAATATCAGTTCTACCCCAGTAAAGTTGTTTTAAAAGATAGAATAAAATTGAATTTAAAAAATAACTTTAGATTTTCATGACTTTGACACTTTTGATGACTACAGCCAGTTATTTTGTAATGTATCAATCAGGTTGGGTTTGTCTAATTTTTAATGATTAGATTCAAGTTATACATCTTTGTTAGGAATATCCTGTAAGTATTGTCCTCACATTACATCTTATCACATAATACATGCTTTTGATTTGTCCCGTTACTGGTGATGTTAACTTTGATCACTTGATTAAGATATTATCTGCAGATTTTGCCACTGTAATTAATAAATGTTTTGAGAAGAGACACTTTTGTATGAGTGTATCCCATTCATCCACTGGAATGGACATTTAACTCAGCAGCAACAGGAATTTTTAATATTCATTAATATTTCTTGAATGAATTACTCTATTACTATGATGACTGCCAAATGATTTTATAATTCCATAATTACATTTTTAATTAGCATTTTGTTATAAGGAAATGCTCTTATCTTCATTTATTTACTCATGTATTTGTTTGTATCAGTATGGGCTCCCAGATTCCTGTTTTATTCAGCGGGATTTTATGCCGTTGTTATCATTAATTGAGGCACAGAATGTTCCCAGTCTGGCCAGTGGCAGCCCTTCAGGCCAACTTCTGTGTCTTTTGTTATCCTCTTTGAGCACTTCCTTTATTTTCTGGCACAGCAAGATGTCTACACTTACATTGTACCTTCTGAGCTGTAGCACTGGAATCAGCCATTTCTCCAAAGACCCATGGTTTTGTTTTGCTTTGTGTTGTGTTGTTTTTAATTGCAGAATGAGTATTTAGAAATCAAGAGTTGGATGTTAGGTGTATTCATGCTGTTGAGCTATTAACTGCTCCTAGGTCCTCACAGTTAGCAGAGCTATGTGCGTGCATGCATACACATTTATATCTGTTTTTGTATTTATCTATATATATTGTAAACTGTTTATACCAATACCTCCAATTTTAGTGTAACACCATAGGTTCTCATGCTAATTTTCTGTCTTTCCATATTTATAACTCCCTTTTCTGACATGAAGAACCTTGCTCTCAATATCCTTCATGTATTTATTTATTGGCTCAGAATGCCCTCTATATAAGCAATCTCCTGTCACTATTGCTGCCCTAGGTGGACACCCTTCTCACTCTGCTCAAGCTCCGAAAGATCCTGTTTAGTCCCTGACAGTGCAAAACCTTATGCCAGACTACAGCTGCTGCCTTTTACATACTATCTGTCTCAGTTAGGTTCCAGTCACACACATCAGGCTGCCGCTACTGCTCTGCCCATGTGGACGGACACCCTCCTCACAATGCCTAGGCTTCAACATTCTTTGCCAGGCTATTGCTTCCCCTCCACTCCCTGCTCACAGGTGCTTTCCTCACACTGCTTGGGCTTCAGCAACATGCACTTTGCTATTCAAGAGGTCATCTACACCAAAGTCATGATGATACTCTACCATATCATCCTCTAGAAGCTTTATATTGTTTACTTCTCTCAATTATGTCAGCAAACCAACTGAAATTAATTTTATGTAAGTTTAAGGGTAGGAATCAGTATTCGTTTGATTTTTCCATGTGTGTATTCACTTGATCCAGGCACAGTCCATTTTTAAGTGTACAGTTCAGTGGCATTAAATACATTCACAGTGTCGTGCAAGTACCATCACGCTCCATCTTCAGAACTTTTCATCATCCCAGACTGGGAATGTTGAAAAGAAAGAGAAAGAAAACACAAAATCCAGCAGTTTAAAAATCTCTTTCTACAGGAAATAATAAATCCAGGTAACAGGAGTCCATAATGTGAAATACATTTTGAGTATATTTTTTAGAAAATGATAGTTAAAGATCATGATAATTGTTTTTCTGTTAATATTCCAATGGATCTCCCATCCTTCCTGTTGCATTTATATTAATAACACCACTGTGTGTTCCTTGTCAACAATTGGAAAAGTGTAATTCAGAATAAAGAAGCAAGGATAGGGGAAGGCACTCAAAATCCTGCTCCCAGAGATTAATTTTTTAGACATTTCTTTCCATTTTTTACATGAGTTTTATCTTCCTCTTTTTACTTAATATTATGTCATAGGCAATACCCCATGTAATTTATGAACTGTTCTTACAGATAATTTTAAGTATCTGTACAATATTCAATTTCATATAATTTTCTTTTCCTTTCTTTCTTTTTTTTTTTTTTTTTTTTTTTTTTTTTTTTTTTTTTTTTTTTTTTTTTTTTTTTTTTTTTTGAGATAGTCTTGCTCTGTTGCCCAGGCTAGAGTACAGTAGCATGATCTTACTGCAACGTCTGCCTCCCAGGTTCAAGCAGTTCTCCTGCCTCACCCTCCTGAGTAGCTGGGACTACAGTTGTGCACCACCACACCTGGCTAATTTTTGTGATTTTTTTAGTAGAGACAGGGTTTTGCTTTGTCTAGGCTGGTCTTGAACTTCTGACCTCAGGTGATCCACCTGCATCATCCTCCTAAAGTGCGTGGATTATGGGTGTGAGCCACCACACCTGGCCTCAATCTCATATAGTTTTCATTTTTCTACTTTTTTATTTAACCATTCTGACATCTTTGGTATTTAGAATATTTCACAATTCACCAAATAGAAGCAGTGTTCAACAGAATATCTTAAAACCTTAATACCGTAAAACACCTTATGAGATACCTTAAAACATTGACTTTTAAAATTATTTCCTTAGAATTTCTAGAATTACTAAGTCAAAGAATTTAGACATTTTTAAGGCTCTAGATATTTACTGCCAAATTACTTTTTCTAAAATTTGTATGAATTTGTATATCCAACAGCAGTGTGAAAGCACCAGTTTTCATGCCATTTTTAAAACTTTTTTGGAATTTTTTTATTGTGGTAAAATATATGTAACAAAAATTACTAAGTCTTTTAAGTGGAATCATGCAATTTTTATCCTTTTGTGTCTGGCTAATTTCACTTAGTATAAGGTTCATCTTTTAGCATGATTCATTTTTAAAGCTGAATAATATTCATTGTATGTATATTACCATATTTTGTTTATCTTTTCATCTCTGGATAGGCATGTGATTTCTTTCCACCTTTTGACTGTTGTGAGTAATGCTGCATTGAACACTGACATACAAGTATCTGAGTCCTTGCTTTCACTTTTGGGTATATGCCTACCCAGTGCACATTTACCTACCCAGTTTCTAGATCATGTGCTAACCCTATGGTTAGGTTTTTAAGGAACCACCAAAATTTTCCACAGAAGCTGTACCAGCTTACACTTCCCACCAGGCTTGTACCAGGATTCCAGTTTCTCCACATCCTTGCCACCACTTGTTACTTTGTTTTTTTGTTTTGTTTAGTTGGAGACTTCTCTAATAAGGGTGAAGTGATATCTCATTATAGCTTTTATTTGTATGACCCTAATGAATAATGATGTTGAGTATCTTTTCATGTGCTAATTGGCCACTTGTATATCTTCTTTGCAGAAATTATTCAAGTTGTTTGCATATTCGTTAATTGGGTTGTTTTTCTTTTTGTTGTTGAGTTGTAAGAGTCTTTAAATGTTCTGGATATTAAACCCTTATCAGATGTATGGTTTGCAAATATTTTCTCCCATTGTGTAGATGGTTTTTTCACTTTCTTGATAATGCCCTTTCGTGCACAAAAGGTTTTAATTCTGATAGAGTCTAATTGATTTTTTTCGTTCGTCACTTATGATTTTTAAGAATCCATTGCCAAATCCAAGGTCACAAAGATTAACTCTATGTTCTCTTATAAGAGTTTTATGTTTTCAAATCTTATATTTAGGTTGCTAATCTTTTTGAGTTAATTTTTATATATAATATGAGACAGGGATCTATAGACCTTAATCTTTTGCGTGTGGATATCCAGTTGTCTCAGCCTAGTTTTTAGTCTGGCAATTTGTTCTTACCGCTTTAAGGCCTGTTAAGGCAGGCTATCCTCATCTACTTGATTTTAGTGTTTTTCTTCATCTTTTGCATGTGGATATCCAGTTGTCTCAGCACCATTTTTGAAGAGACTCCATACATTTTTAATAAATCTTAATTTGACTAATTTGATAGGCAAAAAAGGTCATCATTGCCGTTTTATTTTGTATTTAGCAATGAAGATAAGCCTAGTTTTTAGTCTGGCAATTTGTTTCCTGTTTTAAGGCCTGTTAAGCCAGACTGTCCTCATCTACTTGATTTTAGTGTTTTTCTTACATATGTAAGTTATTTTATTTATATAGCAAATTACATCCTTTTAAAAATAACTTAAGCCAGGTAAACACTAAACTTCTTAGTTTAATTTATACAAGCATTCTCTCTGCATTGTTTTTTTCATTTTTATTGGCTATGTCTGGCATATAGTAGACAATGAATGTTAGTTGAATTAATTACAGGCATATTGAGTCAGGTTATTGCTGTTCTTGAAAATAGAAGTTAATATCACAGATATTTTAAATGATATAAATTCAGTTTTGAAGTACTTTGAATTTTTTGTTTGTGGATTTGTAAACTCTCTTTGTCTGCCTGATTGAGCCAATATTACTTTTAGTTTCTGAATGCCTAGAGGAAAGCAGTCAAATGTATTCTGAATGCTAGAAAAAATAATATTTTTCAGTCTGTCTGTGAAGCAAGTGTCTTATCTCCTAGAGAGGGAAGGAATATCGTAAGTGATAATCTTTTATTATTATCATGTAAGCATCTACAGACTAGTCACTCATTTTAATTACAGGATCATTAAAATTATTATCGGGGTATAACTATTTCTAAAATAATTTCTAAAGAGTATTTTCTAATTATATTAGTGTAATGTATTAATAGTTTAGCTGTTGCATAGTTATTTCTGAAAATTATAATTTATTTTTATGGCACAACTTTCTGTTATGTGTTTCCCTTTTATTTTGGTGTTTTTCCTGATTGTTTGTCATTGATGATTTTTAGCCAACAGAAGCTGTTCTTCCCTCTTCTCCCACTGTCCCTGTGATCCCTGTTCTGCCAGTCCCTGCTGAGAATACTGTCATCCTACCCACCATACCACAGGTTTTTATTAGTTTCTTTTTTTCTTTATAAAAATTTCATTTGCTTTTAATGTTTTATTTGTGTTCTTTTTAAAATTGTTTAGCTGCTTTTTTGTTAAATTTGGTACTTTGGGCTTCAAATTGTAGTTTTAGGGAATTAAACATTTGGGATTTAACATAAATGGAGTCAAGATTTGCCATTTTATTAAGTTGTCTGTGAAATGAGACACATTGTGAACTTCATAATATTGAACCTTAGATTTGTTTTCATGTCTTTATACTTGTAAATCTGCTTAAGACAGTTTTTTTTTTAACATTTTTACTTAAGAAAACTTAATTTTAAAGTTATTAAAAATCATTGTACTTTTGATCTTGTACTGGATGTATCATTTCATTTAACACTTTGTTTCCCATTATATATTTATCTGTTTTGGAAATATTCTTCTGTTATTTGATTAGATAACATACTTCACATTTATTAGGTAAAAATAATTACCAGCATATCTGGAGTATATGGGAACTCTCTGTGCTGTCTTCACAACTTCTCTGTTGTAAAATCTGTTGTAAAATTTTATTTTTTAAAAATAATGTGTAACTGTTTAAAAATAAAATAATAGCCAAATGTGAAATAATCTAATCATTTTTAGTTTTTCAAAGCTTTACAACTTCTAGGGGTGACTTGAGACATTAACTGGCCTTCCAACAGTTATCGAAAGTCAAAATAATGGTACTGTTATTAAAGATAATAATAAAGGTCTTTGGTATGAAAGATCATGATCTCATTTAAAGTGTAAATATATGCACCCATAGATTTTTTTGCCATTATTGATCTATAGCATAAAATCTGGGTAAACATTATCATGTTTGCTGTGTAAACAGTTTCAAAATAAGCTCCACTGCGGAAAAGAATGAGATACCAACTGCAGTTATTCACATCTCAGTGCCCTTCATCTATCCTAAAAAGTGAAGTCAATAAGAGTTGGGGAGAGATAGCAAGGGGAGAGATGCCAGATGTAGGTGATGG